ATTCATTTTGCATAGCTGGAATTTAATTCTACCAAACATTTAAAGAAGAATTAACACCAATCCTTCCCAAACTTGTCCAAAAATTGAATATGAGGGAATACTTTCAAACTCATTTTATGAAGCCAGCATTATCCTGGTGCCAAACCCAGACAAAGATACCACAAGCAAAGAAAACTACAGGCTAATATTCCTGATGAACATTAATGCACAAATCCTCAACATAACACTAGCAAACCAAATTCAACAGCACACTAAAAGGATTATACACCATGACCAAGTGGGATTTATCCCTCGGATGCAAGGATGGTTCAACAAACAAAAATCAACTAATATGATACACTACATTAACAGAATGAAGGATAAAAGTCACATGGTCATTTTTTCAATATTCTTTAGGCTTTTATTAACCTGCTTCACAAAGTCCTGACAGCCTCTTCTGACCACTCCATTCAAAAGCCACTCCCAATTTTTAAATGTTCAAGAAGCACCTCATTTCCAGGTATCAAAACCTGTCTTAGTTTTCTATTACTGCATAAAAAATTACTCCAGAACCTAATGGCTTCAAACAATAAGCATTTATTCCCAGAGTTTTTATAGTTCTTGAGTGTGGTCCAGAATTTGAGGACAATTTACTAGGTTATTCTCATTCCAGGTCTCTCATGAAATTCTGGCCAAGGTGTAGGCCAGGCATTTGATAATGTGAAGTTTTGATTGGGGCTGGAGTACTTATTTCTAGTGTGACTCACTCACATACTTTCGACAGAAGTATTCAGATCCTTGATGAGTTATGGGTGTCTCCACAGGACTACTGACACATCCTCGTAACATGAAAGTTGGTTCCCCTAGAGCAAGTGATCCAAAATAGCAAGGTGGAAGCAACAATGTGTTTTATGACCTAGAATTAGAAGTCATACACTGTCATATCCACAATATCCTATTACACAGTTCAGACCAATTTACTGTTGGAGCACATTAATACCAGGGCTTGAATATCAGAACACAGGGGTCATTGGAGATCATCATGGATTTGACTATAAGTTCTCTTATTAATATTTAATAGTTTTCAGCATCAAATCTTGACCATATTTTGGTAGATTTATCTCAAAGTATTTCATGTTCTTTGATGCCATTGTAAATGGTACTATTTTTTTAAGTTTTAATTCCCAACTGTTTTGTGCTACTATATAAAATACAATTTTTAAAATTGATTTATGAATTTTATTAGGGTGACACTGGTTTGTAAAATTATGTAAGTTTCAAATGTACATTCCTATAATACATCACCTACATATTGCAAAAAATACCATTTTTTATATTGTCCTTATAATCTGTGTCCTTGCAAAACTCACATATTAGTTCTAGTAGCTTTTTGGTAGATTCTTTGGGATTTTCAATGTAGATAATCATGTTTCTGTAAATAGAGACAGTTTTATTTCTTCCTTTCCAATCTGTATGCCTTTACAGGTATATTACATAGGGTAATATCTATACTATAACATCAAACAGAAGTGAAGAGTGAATATCCTTGACTTATATCCATGCTTGAGAAGAAAGCATATAGTCTTGTTTCATTAAATATAAGAAGTCTTCATAGATTCATTTTATTGGGCTGAGGAAGTCCCCTTCTATTCCTAAATTAATGGAAGTTATTATGAATGAATGTTGAATTCAGTCAAATACGCTTTCTGAATCTATTGAGATAATTATATGGTTGTTCTGGCAAATTGCATGGATTAATTTTTGAATCTTGAACCAACCTGGCATTCCTGAGATTAAACTCCATGTAGACATGATGTACTATCTTCTTTATACATGGCTAGGTTTGATTTGATAATATTTTGGTAAGGATTTTTAATTCGATGTTCAGGAGGGTCATTGGTCTATAGTTTACTTTCCTTGTAATATCTTTCTCTGGTTTGGTTATCATGGTAACGTTAGCCTCGTAAAATTCGTTGGGAATTGCTCCCTTCTCTTCTATTTTTCTGGGCCATATATATTTATAGGTGAAATAATATTATTATCTTGGGTTTGCTTTAAAATATTTTGCAGTAGTTTTGGGGTAAAGCCCAAGAATCTGCATTTATTACAAGTTCCCAGGTGATAATGATGATGTTGGCCCAGCAACCACAAGAGAACTTATTTTTTAATATAAAGTCTCAGATTTCAGAAATTTCGAGCTTTTCACTAAAACTCTAGGTTCAATCTAAATAGAATATTCTTTAGTTTACCAGCTGCACTGACTGTAAATTCTGTTTAATTTATTTCAGCAAACTTGTTTGGACACCTACTCTGTACCTAGCCCTCTGCTAGCCTCTGAAGGTACAAGGATATATATTGATGCTTTGTCCCTGCAACTAAAGATTTTATAGTCTGACATAATTATCCTTAGTTGTGTTTATTACTTTTAGAAAATATTTTGTTCAATTTTATTCTGTTTCACTTGGAATGGATTATTTTTAACTTTGCTTTTGTAAGACAAATTAACAGTTGAGCTCATCTTGTAATATATAATATTATCATGTTTTTCTACATCTTGGTCTTATCCCATAGTCCAAATCCTCCCAATTTTCCCCCAGAAGAAACCTTAGAAATCATCTCATTCATCCACCCACTCCCATTTTACAATGACGAAACAGAATCCCAGAAAAATGATACAACTTCCCCAGGATTACTAAGCTAGTAAGTGACAGGGCTGCCACTAAATCCAACTCATACTGTAGTGCTCTTTCCATGTCATCAGGCCTCGTGCTTTAAATTCCAACATCAAGGAAAAGTATGGATTTCCATAGCTGTGAAATATTCCACAAATTTCAATGGAATTTCACAATTAAATTAAATTATTGAAGATCTTTGTGAAGTAAAGGAGAAAGGTGGAGGGAGAAATATGAAGGGGTAGGCTAAGGGTTGCAGTAGCCATAGTAAAGGTATAAGTAATAGTAGTGAGGTAGTAGTAGTGGTAATTGATAACTTATGTGCTATGTACTGTGACTTCCTGAGAACATTCACTCTTCTTAGTAACCCTATGAGATGTGTACAATTATTATACCCATTTTATAGGTGAGGAAACTGAGGCACGAAGTTTCGTAATTTGCCCAAAAGGACGTGGATTTTGTACTAAATTCCATCTAGTGGGCTTAAGTAAAATTAATTCCCCAAGTGTAACTAAATTCTGCTAGAAGGAAAATGTAAATAATATGTAATCTTTGCATAGAGGTGCAAAGCTCTTCAAAGCCCAAATTCTTTTGGGGGAGTTTAACAAATCTCATTGAGATAGTTGAAAACACAAGGAAATGTAAAATTCTTTCTTCTCTGTCTGTTAAAACAGATTTAACAGGTCTGTCTTCTGAACAGGTCAAATATTAAACAAAAAGTGTTCTTTCAGCAATTGGGACTCATAAAGAGGTCAATAGGTTTCGCTGGAGTGGAGCAAGCACCAGGTACACACACACAGACACAGACACGTACACACACACACCCTCATTCAATTTCATGTATAAACAAACATTACTTATACCCTTGGGAATTGTTTTTCACTATCTTTAATCCAAACTGGTTTCACTTGGCAGACTGCAACCCTTACAGGTGGCACCTATTCTCCGTGAAGTGTTTCCTTTTCCCAGAACTGAGACATTGGTATCACGTACCTCCTTACCATTCTTGACATCTGTTTCTACTTATGTGCCAGCTAAGGCCACCTGACCCATGAAGGGAAACAAAACAAAGGTTCATGGTCATTGTCTACCAAAATGTCTTGTTTTGGTCCACCCAGACCCTGGAAACACAGATTGGGAAACTTCAATGGGATGCCAAGTATTGGTCTACCTTAGAAAGGGGCTGTGGAAAAAAGATTTCCCTTATTCATCTGTTGGTGTTGAATAGAAAATAGGGTAGGACTCGAGGGTTTAAGGAAATTAATTAAGAAAGTGACGACGTTTTCACTACTATTTCCAAAGCATTGCATACTGCTGCAGGGGGGTGGGGAGAGGGGGCTACAAAGAATACAGAGAGGTATAAGGCTTGCCATGAAGAGGTTTATGAGATTAGCAAATCACAATATGTACATTAGAAAAATAAACACGTAAGGCTAAATTCATAGCATGTCAAATTTACAGGGCAAGAAATAAGCATCATAGGCACTCCAGGGGCTGGGATGAAAGGAAAACGTCAGTGGCAGTGAGACTTAAAGAAAATAAAATTAACTTATTTTGTGACAAATAAAATCACTTTATTAAATAGTATACTAGCATAAAAATTACCAAGTCACATTTCTCCTAAGAGCTGAACTTCATGCCATCCAAGAAAATTCTTGTCCATGTTTCCTAAATATATTCCTTTTCTGCTTCACTTCTTTTCCTATAGTCAGCTTTCAATTATCTGTAGCAGTTGAGGATAGAGACCAAAGAGAATAAATCTAGGGAGATGTCATACCCTTTATTTTTGCCTTCAAGCTCTGCTTCTAATTTTCAAAACTTTTACTAGAGCTGGTAACAAACACCAAAATGCAGTGATTTGAAGATATACATGCACAAGTCTACGAAGATGCCTATAACAATAATGTTCATTGCAATATTAGATGATCAAAAAGGTTTTTAAAATGGGAACAACCTTAATATCTATCAATAGGGAAGAGTTAAATATATTGCTAACGGGAAGGAGCAAAGTGCCAAGCAGGTGTGTCTCATATGATCCCATTTAGTTAAAACAAAAAAGGACATCGTACCTCATAAATGCACCTCATGCACAAACCAATTCCAGGAGGCAATGTGAGAAATTGTTAAGAATGTGTATATTTATGAGATCAGCAGCTGGCTTTATTTTTTATTTTATTATTTTCTGTGCTGGTGAAAAATTTTTTAAAGATATTACATTTATAATCTTTAAAAATAATCATATACATATAATATTTACATTTTTGCTTTTCAGATACCCTATTTTACCAACAAGTAACCTAAAGACATCCACTCGAAGTAAGGTAGAATATTAACAAAAGGGTCATAAAAAATCAACCATTAGGCGTGAAGAATGGCTATAACACATAGAGTTTTTTATTTAAGAGCATTGGTCATTGTCTCACAGAATCTACTCAAATTTTCCTCACGCAATAGATAGACAAATATTTTGACTTTTGGGTGTTAATAAATAGTCCAAAGCCTCAGAAGTTTGAATTTCAAAGCTGAAACAACACCTGGCTCATGGAATTGATAATAAATTGTGAGAGGCTAAAGGCTTATAAAGTGAAGAACATGTTCATATGATGTTCTATTGGCGGATGACATTCTGTGACAGCTGCCATCCTTGAGCAAGACTGAAGAGTTTGAGATGTCCAAGTTGCCTTTCTTCTCTTGCCTGTGGGAGCCTCAGGCAGGACAGCCCGAGGGTCATAAACCCTGTGTTTGGGATCTGGAGGTAAGTGGGAGAGGCTGGGCCCATTCCGCTGATGCACCAGTTCAGGGACAGTTAGTTGACGCAGCCCTTTGCTTTCCTCTTGGCTTGAATAAAATCAGGAAAAGTGGTTTAGACTCTACTTTCTCTGCTCTCCTCAGGGTCCACATGTTTCCTGACCCTTGACCTTTTCCTCTGTCACCTGCACATGGGCTTAGCTGACAATCACTTCCTGCCCAGCTCTATGTCCTAGACCCATTATTGTGCTTCATCAGTCTGCCCATGTCTTCTGCAGATGATTTGCTTCATGCCCACCATTGTCTGACCACACCATTTCTTAACCATACCGTCAGGGAGGTTTTCTTGTTTAACAGGAATGGAAACCTTTAAAATGGAAGAGTTGGAGCGAGTCTCTCTGTAAAAACCAACTCATTAATTTACAGAGTTAAACATAACCCCAAGGAAATTAGTTGGATCTCCATAATTTTTAAGGAGAGTCTAATGGCCAAATCTTTAAGGCTGATGATCGCAACATCTGCCCAACACTGGCTGTTTGGTCCTTTCTCCCCTTCTAGATAAAGATATACAAATTTGAGGAGCTCCATATACAGGAATGAGTCAGCACCCCGTGTCCATCTGTCTGGTTATATCCTATAGGAAGCAAGATGTATATCAGGAATGATGTAATTGCAAATCTTAATACAGTGGAAAGAGCACCGAACCAAGAGTCAGAAAACCTGATTTCCATACCAATTCTGCCACTGACATAGTTGGGGCCTGTTTCTTCATTAGCAAAATAAAGGTGAGGATCACTAAAGTCTTCTCCGTGTTATGAAATGTTCAATTCTGTGGTTTAGTGGCCAGCTAAGTGGATAGATTGTACTTGGTTGTGTTTTTCTACTCCGTTCCGAGATCTACAATTAGGCTGTCACACAAATGTCCTGGAACGAGGCAAACCTCCCTCCTCATAGTGGTAAAGAATCAGAACCAATTACATCACCTGTCAATGGTGCTACTCTCTGAAAAACTTATTGTAATTTCAGAAATATATTATACTTCAATGATGTAAATGGAAAACTGGGTTTAATTTTCTCCATGGTGACCTGAGAAACTTAGTGTAGCAGAAGAGGTAGATAAAAGGGATAGATAGATAGATAGATAGATAGATAGATAGATAGATAGATAGATAGATAGAGATAATAGATAGATAATAGATAGATAGATAGATAGATAGATAGATAGATAGATAGACAGATAGATAGATAGATAGATAAAGACAGACAGACAGACAGACAGACAGACAGACAGACAGACATAGGTGATAGGTAGGTGTGGGTAATGGATAGATGAATTGATGGATACACAGATAGATGAGTAGCTAGTTAGAGCTGAGGTTCTGAGCGTGGTCTCTAGAGTCAGACCACCATGGTTCAGATTACAGTGTCACAACTTTCTGGCTGCATCACCTCAAGCAAATTACTCCACCTATTTGTGACTCAGTTAACTTACTGGCAAAATTCAGATAGTAACAGTAATACTTCCTTCAATAAGGTGGTTGTCAGAATTAAATAGATTATTCATGTAAAGCTTTTGGCATAGTGCCAGACATACAGTAAGGATTCCATAAACGTTAACAATTATAATTTTTATTACTTAGAAAATAGTATGTATGTTACTCCTTCGCCATCATTCTGATCATCAATCCCTGCCTCACACACACACACCCAGAGATAACCACTGCTAGAAGTTTGGTGTGTGTTTTTTTCCTATTACATCCATAGATATGTACACACACACAAATGTTATTGCTTCCAAAGGTGGAATGTACAAAATATGTTCTTTTGAGACTTGATTTTGTTTTTGCTTAGTAATATGCTTTGTAGAGTGTTCCATAGCAGATCTAGACATTATCCATACACCAAAATATATTAATTAATGCTCTTGCTGATGGACATTTAAGTGGTCTCAGATTTTTCAGTGGACATCTTTTAATATTTCTTTTTCTCATGTGACAAGACAGATTCTTATCTTGCTGAGTCATAAGGTATGGGCATTCAAGGTCTTACATACACTGCCATATCATCCCCTAAAAGGACATTATCAATTTATACTCCTAATAACAATTTATAAGCTTGTTTAGTTTTCCACAACTTTACCAACACTGGATATTGCTAATATTTTTAAAGCTGCCTATTTGATTGGTAAACTATGGTATTTTTTAAAACTATAAATTTCTGATTAGTTTTAAGATTAAGCAGGCTTTATGTAAATGTTTACTAAGTTTTACCTTTTCTGCCAAATATTTATCTGAAAATGTTGCCAGTAAGTGTGAACAAGGCACTGTACAATACCTAGCTGGTCAGATGATCACAATTCTGGGAACCCATTTCCTCATGTTAACATGAGGGAAGCTTAGAGAAGAGGAGAGTAGCTCTTTGTTGATGTTTTTTTTTTTTTTTTTGGAGTTCACTCAAGAACCATTGTTTATTAGAGTCCAATACAGAAAAATCCCACATGGAAGTGTTCAGCCCTTTTGTTCTTTTTTTTTCATATTTTATTTTTGTTTTTATTTTTTTAATTGTTAGTTTCAGGTGTACAGAACAATGCAATAGTTATCCTTTTTACCCTTCACACAGAAACAACCCCCCGCCCCATCTACTGAGGAGAGTAGTTTTTATTAGAGTCGTTGCATCCTTATTCTCGTTATTTTTTGTTTTGTGTTTTTTTCCATCATTTGACTTGGAAATCCAAAATTCTAAATTGGTACTATTCTAATAATACTGTCTTATGAACAATTTTCTCAATTGCATGGAAAAAATCTAATAAAATCTCAATGCTCCTATCATAGTAAATTTCCTTAAAAATCTTCACATGAATACTCACTGCTAATGGGAACATGGCGGGGAAGCAGTAAAGTAGTGCTGGTAGAAATCCATGTGCTGCAGTCTTTAGGGAAAGCAATCTGTTAAAGTATCGATTAAAATTTAAAGCACGTATACACTTTTGTCCCAGAATTCCACTCCTTGGAATCTAACTGTAGAAATGATAGCACTAGTAGGAAAGTTATATGTACTAGGTCAGTGTGCAATCTTCAATATCTCCTGGAGATCTTGATAAAAGTAGATGTGAATTCAGTAGGTCAAGGCTAGAACTTGAAAATTTTCATTATCTATAAAACTTCAGGTGATGTGAATGCTGCTGGCCCATGGCTCACACCTGAGTAGCAAGGATGTTTATTGTAGTGTTGCCCACTAAAAATTAAATTAAAACCCAGAAACAATGAATGAACACTCATCAAGGCTCAATAAATTAAGAAAAACATCTACATCACTGAGAATTATGCTGGCATTTAAAATAATGAAATAAAAGTATACTGGTTGATTGGGAGGAAATTACAAAAGCAGCATGCAATAAAATAGTGTAACATGGTTTCTTTTGCTGTGCAGAAGCTTTTTAGTTTTCTATAGTCCCATTCATTTACTTTAGCTTTTACTTTCTTTGAGGTCAAATTCATAAAAATCATCTTTGAGCCCAAGGTCCAAAAGTTTAGCACCTATGCTTTCTTCTATGCAGTTTATTGTTTCAGGTCTTATGTTTAGGTCTTTGATCCATTTTGAGTTAATTTTAGTATATGATGACAGATAGCAATCTAGTTTCATTCTTTTGCACATGGCTTTCCAACTTTCCCAGCACCATTTATTGAAGAGGCTTTCTATTCTCCATTGCATGTTTTTGGCTCCTTCGTTGAAAATTATCTGCCCATATATATGTGGGTTTATTTCTGAGTTTTCAATTCTATTCCATTGGTCTGTGTGTCTGTTTTTTGGCCAATACCATGCTGTTTTGATTATTGTTGCTCTGTAGTACAAGCTGAAGTCAGGGAGTGTGCTACCACCAGCCTTGTTCTTCTTTCTTAAGATTGCTTTGACTATTAGGGGTCTTATGTGATTCCATACAAATCTGATGACAAAACAAAGAGGCAACTAACCAAATGGGAAAAGATATTTGCAAACAACACCTCCGATAAGGGGCTAATATCCAAAATATATAAAGAACTCATACAACTCAACAACAAAAAGCAAACAATCCAATTAAAAAAATGGGCAGAGAACCTGAGCAGGCACTTCTCCCATGAAGACATACAAATGGCCAACAGATATATGAAAAGATGCTCACCTTCTCTAGCTACTAGGGAAATGCAAATCAAAGCCACAATGAGATATCATCTCACACTTGTTAGAATGGCTACCATCAACAATACAAATAATAACAAGTGTTGGAGAGGCTGTGGAGACAAAGGAACCCTCATACACTGCTGATGGGAATGTAAATTGGTACAGCCACTTTAGAAAACAGTATGGAGGTTCCTCAAAAAATTAAGAGTAGAATTACCATATGACCCCAGCAATCCCTCTCCTGGGTATCTACCCCAAAAAATATGAAAACGTTTATCAGTAAAGATATGTGCACTCTGATGTACACTGCAGTATTGTTTACGGTGGCCAAGACATGGAAACAACCAAAGTGTCATTCGATAGATGATTGGGTTAAGAAGATGTGGTATATATACACAATGGAATACTATTCTGCCATAGGAAAAGATGAAATAGTGCCATTTGCAACAACATGGATGGACCTTGAGATTACTATACTAAGCAAAATAAGTCAGACAGAAAAAGTTGAAAACCATACGACTTCACTGATATGTGGGATATAAAACTGAAAGCAACAAAGGAACAAGACAAACAAAGAAACAAAAATTCATAGACTCAGACAATAGTTTAGCGGTTACCAGAGGGTAAGGGGGGGAGGGGGCGGTAGAAGAGGGTAAAGGGGGTCAAATACATGGTGATGGAAGGAGAACTGACTCTGGGTGGTGAACACACAATATGATATATAGATGATGTATTACAGAATTGTACACTTGAAACGTATGTAATTTTACTAACCATTGTCACCCCAATAAATTTAATTAAAAAATAGTATAACATGATCCCATTTTTGGAAAACAATGATAAAAATTCCATTTGTGTGCATGTGAAAATACTACCACAGAGCAAATAGGATAATATGGTTTTTAGGTTGCTAGTATTAATTACCTTAGGGAGGAAACTCAGACAATGCAGGAGAGAGAAAGAACTTAAACACAAAAAAGGGAAAGGAATATCCAAAGTTTACACTAAAAATATAATAGCATGTTTGTAATCATATTAATGGAAATTAATGTACATGTGCGAGGATGTGTGTAAAGAAATTTAAAATGTTTAAAACAAAAAATAAAATTTAACAAAAAAATCAGACTCTAGGTTTTTATCTCCCACTAGCTTTTTAATTTTGGTTAAGTCACTTACCTGCCCTGGAACAGTTATTAGAGATGAATTGAACATCTCTAGTAATTTCCATGGTTCCGTCTAGTTCTAAATTTCTATGACTGCAGCCACTTTGGAAAACAGTCTGGCAGTTCCACAAAAAGCCAAGCATGAAGTTGCCATATGACCCAGTCATTCCACTCCTAGATATATACCTAAGAGAAATAAAAACACGTGTCCATACAAAAACTTGTATGTACAAGAATGTTAATAGTAGCATTATTTATAATTGCCAAACAAGTGAAAACATCCCAAATGCCCATTGACTGATGAATGGATAAATAGAAAATGGTGTATCCATACAATGGAATATCCTTTGACAATAAGAAGGAACGAAGTACTGACACAGGTACTTCAGCAAACCTTGAAAACAATATGCTAAGTGAAAGAAGACAGTCACAAAGGACCACATATTGTACAATTCCATTTATATGAAATGTCCCCAGTAGGCAAATCCAGAAATTTGTACTCATTTTTAATATAGCTTCTTGTGTTCATCATACCAATCTAAAATAAGTATACAGTGGTTCCACTCTAAATTAATGCTCACCAATCTTAAATGACCCAAGTAAGCCTACCTTTTTTTTTTTTCTCATTCTCCAGGAAAACTTCTCCAAACCTTCTTCACTTCCTCTAATCCCTTTACTCCAACATTATGGGAAAAAGAAAAGCCATCCGTTGGAATGCCTCATCTCCCATTATCAATCATGTCAACCTGCCACCTTCTTAGGACCCTAACACTAAAAATAACCCTTTCTTACACCTGCAGGTGTTTAAATGTCCACTCTGCTTCAGTGACAGTCTGTCTGGTCCCTAGAATCATTGAAATTTATGATTCCTGCTTTATTTTAATAATGTGGTATATATCTTTTTACACTTATATAATGTAAACATACTTACCATATTTAAAGCTCCCAACATTGTATTTTACAAAATAAAAGGGATCATAGAGTTAAGATGTTCTTTTTAGTAGTTGTATGATATTCTATTACATGAATATGTTATAATTTATTCAATTATTCCTTGATAGGTTATTTGGCTTGTCGACTGCCCATTGGTAAATAATTCTGCAATAAATATCCTTATAAGTAAATCCCTCTGTCTAGTGCATTTATTTCTTTGTGCTAAATTCATAGACATGTACTGCTAGCTCAAAGCTTGTGTCAGTTTAAATTTTAATGGATGCAGATATATTTTAGCAATTTCTAAAAAGTTTCAGCAATTCATCTCCCAACAACATTGAGTATCTTTCCCCCCAGCTATGGCCCATATTGGATGTTGTCAATATTTTAAACTTTGGCCAATCTAATGGGGAAAAAATAGTTATTTCATTGTTATTTGCATTTCCTAAGTACTAGAGATGTTAAAAACATAGACCTATGGCAAGATAATATCTCTAAGTGTTAAACTACAGGTTTTCCATGTTCTCTCAGTGGTACCTTTCAACTCTGATGGTTATTATTCTATCACCCCAACCCCACCTCCATTCTAAACTGAAACAAAGACTCAAAGAAGTCTCAGGCCTAAGTGCAGAATAGGAAAACTTTCCCCAAAGGCTATATAGAACCATGACTAGAAGAAGGAAGAGAATGGAAATTGGAGGCAGAAGGTCCATCCTAACTAGGGACAGAGAAAGTGATGGAAAGGCTAGGATTCCAGATCACAAAGTAGAAAGGAGAAATATCTTCTGTACCTTCTGCCAAGAGGACCAGGAAACAGCAGCATGAAGTCATTGCCAGGTAATTCTCAAGTGTGCACTTTCAACATCTCGCTCCACAGCCACTGACAATCTTCAAACAGTCTTGGACCCTCTGAACAGAGGATAAGAAATTTAAACATTATGAAAAATTATACAGGTGGCATCAGAAAGGAGGGGAAGCACAGAACTTAATGGAATAGCTTAGTTCTCTGACCAAAGTAAAACTAAACAGAAAAATTGGGAGTTTCCCTAGGGGCCTGCCTATTAGCAGGGATTGCCACTGTTAGGTATTTATTGACCATTTGCATTTGATCTTATGTGAACTGCCAGTTCATATTAATTGCCCATTGCACCATTTCCAGGTAAGAAATCGGTTTGGGGCTGAGGTTAGGAGAAGAGACACTCGGAGCAACACAAACCTACCTTGGTGATGAGGTGGGGGGAGAAGAAAGACACTACAGGAAATGTTAACGTACAGACCAGCCCAGGGTAGAACACAACCCAGAAAGGCAGGTCCCATCTCTACCCGCTACTGTGAGGAAGTTCTCTACCCCCTACTCAGGGGATAATCACTGGACGTTTGAGTTTGCTTATGTATCTGGTCAACAGAAGTAGTTATTGTTGTTGTTGTTTTATGTTGTCAGATCAATGTTTTTCCTTTATTTCTTCTGGGGTTTCCGTCTTGTTTAAGAAAATCTCTCTAATTTCAAGATTATGTAATTATTTCTTTGGATTGTCTTCCTATAGTATAATGATGTAATGAAGATGATGTTTTATACATTTAGATTTTTAATTCATCTGGACATTTAAATTTTTATATAGCATAAACCAGATCTAATTTTGTTGCCTGGGTTCAAATCCTGACTCCACTACTTTTTAGCTGTGTGACTTTAGACAAGTTATTAAACATCCCTGAGTTTCAGTTTTTCAAATGGAGATAATAATGCAGATAGTTTCTATCTCTAAGGGTTGTTATGAGGATTGAGTTAATATATGAAAACCTCTCAGAATAGTATCTGGCACATAATAAATACCCACTAAATGATAGATGTTAACTGATCTAGTTAAAAAGTCTTGCCACCATTTGTTAAACAATTTTTTCAATCAAATATGTCCCTTTCAGCAATATAATGTCAGCATATATACTTGGATCTGTTCCAGACTCTCCTGTGTTCCAGTGATCTATATACAAATATTATATTGTTTTATCATTAGTTTTACAGAAAATTTTAAAATCTGGTGGGGCGACTTCCTCTACCTAATCTTTTTCAAAATTTTCTTTGCAATTTCCCATAGTATTCATCTATATAAACTTCAAAATAATCTTGTCCCATAATATTCATCAATATAAACTTAAAGTAATTTGTTAAAAGTTTGGTGGAGGAATGGAGCTAAGACACCAGCTCCACCCTGTCCGGCAGGGAACTCATTCCAAACTAACACAAAACTAGTACCAAAAGTGGAGAACAAGTATATTGTGATCCACTCGAAGGTGCTCACAACTTTTGGCATGAGGATGCAAACCCCAGAAGCTGTTGGGTGGGCGAGGAGTTATCTCATTCATTCATTCATTCATTCATTCTTTCAAACAAATTCCACTATTTCACTATGTGTTGCTCCATTATGGAAATCTGAAAGCTTACATCTGCAAGAGGACACACGAGCAAAACAAGTCACTGAAAGGCAACTATTGCACCAAACTGTCCTTAATGTGAAGAAGTGTTAGCTTCTCCCAACACTCTACCCGTTTGGCACAACAGAAGGATTCTTGTGTGTTAACTTTAAACTGTATTTGGCATGTATGCTTTCTAGGATAAAATAGTTTATCTGGATTTGCAAAATCATTTCCTGTCATTCCAAGATCAAGCACCATCTTGACTATAAACATGTAGTCTTCTGTCCACACAAGCAGCTTAGAGGGCACCAATTCAGGTTTCCCTTCCGAACGTGACCAGGAAGAGGCCCAATAAATATTTCAAACATAAAAGGACTGTTATAACAAAGGGGTCTTAAAATTCTCCTGGGTTATCTGAACAGCTTTCCGTTTCATTTTGTTTTCACCACTACCCCCTCTGAAATTGGGAGAGGTTTTTTTTTGCTTGGGATGAAAGTTTATGCTCAGATGGGTTGAGATTAGAAAAGAAAATGAACAACAGCATCAAAAAGAAAAGTGGGAATCTCATAAGTGAAGATATAAATATTAAGGGGGAGAGAAAGCTATGTGAGGAAGACAATCTGACCACAGGCCATCCTTGGTAATCCTCATTCAGGATGCATCTCCTGATAGCAAGCAATTCCTGCCTCAGTGACAACTCCATGTATTTGGGTTATAAACACAAACCTATCCGAGCATATATTATACACACCTTACTGTGACATGGCAAAGAGTGCCTGGTTTCCAAGATAAGCTTTATGGAGACTGAAGAGGAAAGAACAAGAGAAGTAGGTGAGAGGCCCAGAAAAAAATACTTCCTTTAATCTTTTGATGTCACCCAAGTGACCAGTGATAAAAGAAGCATCATACTTACTTTTCTCTTCTTTTGTACACTGAAAATAGAGGCTAGATATCATCCAAGATCCTCCCTTTAAGGAGATGGTTTTCTATGAGCCTCAAACCGAAACTCAAAGGAAATGACCGTGGGTGTGTTGGCTAGGCATAATTGCAAGGAGTTTCTTCCGCTTTATTTTTTCAAAATCACTCACGCTGAGTGTCAGTCGGAACTATCTCTAAGAGACTTTATTCTTTTAATCTTATACAGATTAAAGAAGTGGAGTGAAAACCCTCTGGCAATTGTTACAAAAGCTTGACAGCCCAGGTAATTTACAAGAGGTTTAAATTTACAAAAAGTACAAGTTGACGATGGGCTATTTAGCTAAATTAGGGATAACAGTATCTGGCCCAAAAGAAACAAATTACAGTACAACAAAAGCATCTGAATATTATGCAATGACTTCAGGCTCGTTTCTGTGAAAGGCACTGGGTGGAGGAGCGTAAGAATGAGCCACACAGCCTCACCCCTCTAAAGACTGTCTTTCTTGTTAGACTAATACGCAGGCAATAGATTAAAGTAATAGGAGGCACTATATGATTAAAACTATGCAGAGACCATACATGCAATTTGATTTCCAATAAGGGAGAAAATAGTTGTTTGGATTTAATTGTAATGAGATTATAATGTAGAACTCAATCTACAGTCAGTTCTTTCAATTATAAATTACTCTAGTTAAAGTATACTTCTTTTTCTTGAAGTACAACTCTGAAATTTTTCTTCCTCCAAACTCATTTATATAGTTGTTTGGGGAAGGATTTTTCTCTCTTTAGAATTCTTAAGTTTATGTACATATGTAATCTATTTAATTTTATTCAATTATTTGAAAATAATTTGGCTTGAAATAATGTAAATAATATTATAGTCTCCCCAAATAAAGTTAGTCTTAGCTTGAACTATGAAACCCACATTAAACCATCTAACAGTGTTTAATTACAGTTCTAAATAATAATGAATTTGGTGTAGGAAATAACACAGAAACAAAGCCAATTATTCATCATAACACAGGTGTTTTCCATAGTAAGAACAAAGAAAAAAAAAGGAAGATCAACAGACAATTATGAAGAAAATGAAGTGGACAGTAGAAGATGATGTATCAATAATATACCCCCAAACCTCCCAAAAGCCATTAACAAAATCGTAGGAGGTTCATGTTACTCAGACCAGCTGTCCACACTGATCATATCATACAGATAGCTCCTTCAACAGGAGTCATTCAATAAGTAGTTATAGAATTAAGCTAAATATTCGACTCTATGTTAAGCAGTTATGCTCGAAATCATGAGATGAATCAGAGAGCACATAGAGGAATGAATTTTAAATTCATTTATTAATGGCTAATGTTTATACAATACTTGATCTTTCATAAAGAACTTTCGCTCAAAGAAATTGCCTCAATTGCTCCAAAACAGAACCCTGAGAGGTAGCTAAGATGTTAGTGTAATCTTTGCATTAATAAAGCAATAACTTGAGTCTCAGAGAAGTCAAATGACTGTATTCTGCTGAGCTCAGTCCCTGAGTGAACCCAGCTCTCTGACATCACCACCCATTCTAGCTGAGTTGCAAAGGCAGCCATGAGGCTTCACACCCTGTGCATGCGTAACTGTTGAGTGAAGACTCTTAATTCACCAGAGCTGCATATACAAATGCACATGAAATGTTTTCACTTTTGCAAATAACTGCTACCCCCTGTCCTGTGGACTACCTCCCTCCTCCTTTTTCAGCTGGAAAGCGCCTCCCTTAGTCACCTCTCAGCCTGATTCCATAACTTCCCATCATTTTTTGGTAAATAAAGCAGTCTCATTTCCTTTAGCTTCCTTCCTTCCCGGAGCAGGCAGTCTAGAGTGGCCCTGGACTTGTTAACACAGAGGAAAGGGTGGAGGGAGGGCATCCCTGCCGTCGCACATTGAGGTGGCGGTGCCCTTTCACGGGCATCAGGGCTGCGGGTTGCTCCTGGAGACCTCGACAGGCCGTGCCCTAGTGGCCCTGGGTGGGTGCCCCAGAGCTACAACTGACGGCATCACTGCGGGCGGGAAATGCGCCTCTGCAGCTGGGCTCCTGCAACGCCCCCCCAAGCCTGCAGTCCTGGCTCCTCGGCTTCCTAGCGCTGGACCCTGCTGCCCTCGCCAGGTGGCACCTCCTCCTCGCCCCTCATCCCCCAGCCGCCCCTTCACTCGGTTTCTCCCTGGGCTCTTGCACGTTCACGCTCGCTTCCAGCCAGGGAAGAAGGCGTCAGTCTCGCCGTCTTTCAGATACCCACGAAGTTCAGATCGAAATTTCTTGGAGACTCATGCTCACTCCCCAGGCTTTGGGAAGAAGAACCCACTGAGGGCGCCTGCCCTCTGCCGGGATCCCCTTTCCCACCGCCCCATCAATCCACAGGCCTCCTAGCTGGGCTCCCCACTCCAGCCAGGGTACAGTGCCGCCAGCCCGCCCGCCTCTGGGCAATTCGAGTCTGCATTGCTTCTAAACTCAATACTGATCTCTATCCTCCGTACACTTGCACTACCAGGTAATCGCAGAGAGGAGAAAAAGGTCTCAGAAAATGACCCCACGTCAACCATATGCTAGCGCGTGAACATGAACATTGGCTTGAAGAAGAGGTGCTTACCTTCCCCGTTTATTGTTGTAGCGCTGTTTCTAGGCCTAATAATGTGTGTTGCACAAAAGAGACTCTCAACAAATTATTATGTTTTTCTAATCTACCTGACCTTTTTCTAGGTCAGTTTTGTAAAACCCGATTTTAAAGAATTTGACATAATTGCATTCATTTTTTACACTCTTCATTTATATACCTTTCACTGTGGATTTGAAGTGGCTCTTATAAAAGTAAGTAAACTTTTCCAACTTTTTAAGTTAAAAAATAATTGGATTAGGTGTTATTAAGTTAGCATAATGTAAACCACAAGCTCCAGGGTACGTATACAGTCTTATGCAAATGACGAAGTCACAAGAGCTGTTAAAAATTTATTGCAATAATGTTATATAACCTTTCACTCCTATCCTTACTGTGTGGCAGGCTCTGTTCTAAATGTTTTAGAAATATTGTCAGTTACATGTGTTAATTCATGTAATTCTCAGAATCTTTTGGGATAGGCAACCTTGGATCTCCATTTTACAGACAAGAAAACTGAGGAGAGCAAGATTTGACTCCAGGGTTTTGTACCACTCTAAACCACTAACCAACATTGTCTCTCTGACTTTGTTTCTGGAGAATATAAAAACAATACCGTACATGGATTTCTGTCCGCTATAGTCATAGAATTGCCAGCATTTATTAAAGCTTGACACTTTTACACAACTAGGGTGTAAGAGCTTTAAAAGCATTGTATCTCTCAAATTCTGCCATCTCCAACCCACACAAGTCAGATGTGGAAACTGCAACCACGTTTTACAAATCTGGAAGCTCATTTCCAAGACATTAAGTTCCTTGGCTAAGGTCATGACATTAGTAAGTGTCAAAGCCAGGCCACAAACCCAGGTCGGCCTGACACTAGAATCTGTGCTCTAAACCAGGACACTTTGGGTTTTGTTCAAAGTGAACTAAATTAGGTTTAAACACAACCCCAAATCCAGCCACCTGGCACAATCACTGATGCTATTATCAAGTCAGAGGTTGTAAACTGATGACTTCTGGGTTTTCAGCTCCTCTGTGAAGCACCACGGATCTCGCAGCACAGGGCCCATGCTGCCCTTCAAATTGGGGCCGACCAATAGCAGCTCCCTTTAATCATGCAACCAAGTGCTCAGGCCCTATCCAGTTCACTTCACCCAACCTGCCAGCTGCCTGGCCCCAGCAGGAATTTAAGTTTTCAATCCCTAATCTAGGGATGCTCAGGCCAGTGCTGGGCCTCATCTGACCATTGCAAACTGGTCAGGGTATGAAATAAATTCATACCAACTGAGCCTGGATTTCCTGCAGTGTAAATTTAGACATTTCAAGTTGGGAAGTTCCAGTTTCAATGCCCTCTTGGCATCAGGCCAACTCTACTTTACAATCCAATATCAAGGCTCTAAGATATGGCTCTTGGTAACAGTTGGGTGGCATTAACTCTGCTCTCTTGGGAAAGTGATCCCTCTAACATAGGGCTAAAGTCAACCTCCATTTGCATTTGTGGTCTCAACAGTCTCACTTCTCTGTAGATTGCCACCACACATCTGCTTACCCCTTCCAAGCCTTCTCTTTTACTCGAGACCTGGAAGGTAAGGACAGTCTGTAATGTCAGTGTGATTCGTGTGTTAATATGGGGAGATGCTCATCGGGAAAGAGAAACTTGGCTTCCACAAAGCTTCAAATAAGAAATGGGATGTGTCGTGCAAAGACAAGAGAGAGAATGGATACCTACCTTGTCTTTGCAAAACAGAGATACACTGGACACGATGAAGTCGGACAGACAGGAGATTTGTACGTGGACATTGGTTATCTGAACACCATGTCAAAAACACATTTGGGAGCAAGAAAAAGATTAAGATGATTTCTCATCCTGACATATTTTGGAAATTAGCCAATAGGAAAACAGTCTCATCACTGAGATATTTTTCCTTGTTTAATGCCATGAAAATTAAAACGTATTCTGACATTTTATTCCAATAGGCTATAAATTTATATGTTGATAAATTCTTCCTTTCTAGATATAGAATACTTAGATTTCAAATTATTGGAGATTTAAATAGCTCAAACCAACTTGAACAAAAAAAATGATTTTATTTGTTCATATAACAAATTATGGTTTCAAGTATGGCTGGATCCAGACACACGTATGGTGTCATCAGGAATTAGTATCCACTTCTGGCTCTGCTTTCCTTTATGTTGGCTTCCTTCTCTGGCAGACTTTCCTCCTGTGGTAGCAAGATGGCCTCCAGCAGCTTTAGGTATACATTCTGCCAGCTTAGCAATCCAATAGGAAGAAATGACCTCTCTCCTAAGAATTTGAGCAAGAGGCTCAGGATTGTCTCTGTTTGATCTGGTGTTGGTCAAGGGCCCACCCCAGAATTAGTTACTTTGCCCAGAAGGATGTGGTGTTCTCATTGGTTCAAGTTGAGTCCCTATTAGCCAGGGCG